TGTGAACTAAATCTTAGTTTTCGTTAATTGAAATAAATCCGAATAAATAATAATCTAAAATACAAGTATTAGAACAAAACGTACATTTTAAAAACTTGAATGAAAATTGCCTGAGGAACTGAAAAAGTGATTGATTTCAGTAATTAAATTACTGAAACTAAATTTAAAGTTAAATAGAAATATATATAAAAAATAATAAAATTGACAAAAGTACATAACAGAATAACTCAAGTTTAAACTAAAATAAAATCTGATAATATAAAATGAATAGTTTTTCTAATATATATATATAAATATATACTTGCACTGACATTAAAAAAATCTTTGTGAATTTCTGTTTTACATTTAACATTCATATTTATAGTAGTAATAATAATAATTAGATTTATATTTTTTGTTGATTTTACAGCTATAGTGTCATAAACACTTTGTCATACAGAGAGAATTGTCAGCTTATTCTAAACCTCATTTATATTAGAGAACCTGATCACATTACCTTGTTGAAATATGAACACTGGCACAATTTAGCATAGTTTGTGTTCAAACCACAATGGAAAACTAAATGGCAAAGCATAGAGACACAGTAAATTGTGGTACTTAATGAAAACTACTGTATTGAAACACTATTCAAAATGTCAAATTCCATGCATATCTCTATCTTTTATCAACAGAGCTTGTTACCAGAGTAGCTGAGCAAAGTCATCAAGAGGGGGAGGAAGAAAGAGCCAGAGAAAGCTCTCCTGCTCTCAACCCAGAAACTGACATGCATATCCTCAACACACCAAAGAGCAAACGCCGCTCCTCACACAAGTATACAAGATCAAAAGTCAAGCCTCATGCCATCAAAGACCCGGAAAAAGAGAACCGTCACCCTTTTGCCCTGTATGGTGCAGGAGAGAGGCAGACAGATATGGCTTCCAAGAAAACCCATAATGTTGGACCTGCAGCATCAACTGCAGAGGTGAGGATCCTTTCAGGAAGCACACCATATCATAAGAGAGCATTGACCAGTAAGAAAACTACTGGGGGAAAAAATAGTTCACCCAAAAAAGAAAATTCTGTCATTAATTACTCACCCTCATGTCGTTCCAAACCTGTAAGACCTTCGTTCATCTTCGGAACACAAATTAATATTTTTTTTGATGATATCCAAGAGCTTTCTGACCCTGCATAGATAGCAACGCAACTACCACGTTCAAGGCCCAGAAAGGTAGTAAGGACATCATAAAAATAGTTCATGTGACATCAGTGGCTCAACTGTTACGAGAATTTTTGTCAGTGTCGATCCTAGACTTCTGGGAGCCCTTTATGAATGAATGAAATGCCTTTGTCTGTGTTCACTCCATCTGGAATCGCGCTCACGGAAAGCGTTTGAGAAACCATGTCTCTTCCGCGGCTCGGTACGCTTTCAACTCGTTTTTTTTTTGTCTCGAGTAAGACACTGTATGACATTCACGTTACATGATTTGACCGATTTTTTTTACGTAGAAAGGGCAACAGCGCACCGCTTTAAAAGAAAAGACAAAAATTAAAATGATATCATCTTTGAGAGCAAGGGGGCCCCCTGGTGTTGGGAGGGCCCTACGCAGCTTGCGTACTTTGCGTATAGGGAGGATCGGCTCTCATTTTTGTGCACAAAGAAAACTAAAATAACGACTTTATTCAACAATTTATTCTCTTTCATGTCAATCTTTGATGTGCATTCTTGAAAGTACCACGACATATGCGTGTGGTGCTGCTGACACAGGAGCCGGTGTTCTGACATAGAACCTGGATGCAGCTTGTTTAGGTTAGGGCTAGAAAGGATACAGCTACAGCCACCAGGACTTACTGGTCATACGCACATCAATATTGCATAATTTTTGTTGTACTGAACAACAATAATTACTGTATTTATAATAATTACTGTATTAAAGGTAGGTTTAGGGTTGGGGTAGGTGTTGACATTAATAAAAGGCAAAGGAATGCACATGCATGTGTTGTGGAACTGTCATAAATGCCCGTCAAAGACTTGACACGGAAGCGAAGAAATTGTTGAATAAAGTCATTATTTTAGTTTTCTTTGTGCACAAAAATTATTAGCGTAACCGTTGAACCACTGATGTCACTTGAACTATTTTAACGATGTCTTTTCTACCTTTCTGGGCCATGAACATGGTTGTTGTGTTGCTGTCTATGCCAGGTCAGAAAGCTCTCGGATTTCAAATATCTTAATTTGTGTTCTGAAGATGAGCAATGTTCTTACAGGTTTGGAACGACATGAAGCTGAGTAATAATTACTGACAGAATTTTCACATTTGGGTGAACTATATCTTTAAGTAATCATTTGCTTATTGTTATTCATGCATACTTCATGCAGTGTTTATTCTGTCTAGATCCATGATTCAGCGTTGCGAGCAAAAACCAGACGGGAGGTGGAGAAACAGATGAAGAGATTTGACAAACAAAGAGCCAGATCTGCTGACTTCGAAAAGAACAGAAATAAGATTGTCCCTGATTTCAACCCCTGGATGACGGAGTACATGCGCTGCTTTTCAGCTCGTTCTGGGTAGTACTGCTTTCTGAAATCCTTATCTAAACCTCTCAGGCTAAACAACCCAAAACCCTTCACATGATGACTGGCGCATCTGTTCAGCTCACTTCCTGTCTTCCAGAATGGGCCACAATGAATCAAACAGATTATAACTCAAGGTTTTTTAGCGGTTTATTTACACCATGGATATGTTGCATTTACTGGTACATATCAAACATGAAAACACAATCCATTGATGCTGCAGAGCAAATTGTCAAATAATCACATGCCTTGTTGCATGATTTTTGTAGGCCACGTAGATTTACAGGCAATGAGATTTACCAGTGTCTCTTTACACTCTTAGCCAATTACTTAAAAGTGTTCAGTAACTGTCAGACAATTATAGACATGTATTGTGATGTGTATTATCTACATTGTGTTAATAGTTAGGTTTAATCATGTAAAGAAATCTGTTTTGTACTTTACAGAAATCATTTGCGTCAACATGGATCTTTGTAAAGTGTTAATCAACACTTAATCTCACATTGGCAGTTGATCTGTTATATTAATATCTACTTTTTTTTAAATGATGTATTATATTTTACTTGTATATTCACACTAATGGTGTATTCCATGTGGTATCGTATAAGAACAGTAATATTACATAATGTAAAAAGTCACTGTTATCTGAAGCATGAAACTCACAGCAAAATGACAAATCTTTTTTTGAACGAGATCATATACAACAAAAGCAATTCCAGCTGTTCATCAAGCATAACTTTCATTCAGTGTGATGCCATTTGTTTTTTAGTAGCACTCAGGTATTTCTTGTTGTATTTTATGTAATTTATTATTGAGAAATCATGATATTGGGATATTTGTACACTTATTTATATAAGGGTATTGAACTAATTTTGACTATTTTAGTTCAGCATCTCTGAACAAATGTACAGGTATTTTTTCCCCCCACATCTTCATAGTGATTTATGGCATGTACTATGTGAATAGTGTTGGTTTTAGCATAAGAATAATGAAGTCATAATGTATATGAGCTACATTAATATGATGAATATCCATTCTACTGTTATGGAAGCCATTTTGATTCAAATTAAAATTTAAGTGTTTAGATTACTGCCTGTGAAATTGAGATGTTTATATGAGTTTTTCTTAACACTTTATGAGGACTTAGTCTGATAGTAATTGCCAGTTTTAACAGGTTGCTGTTAATTGTATGTTACAGTAAAATAAAATACAAATTTTCATAAGTGTATTATGGCTATAAAAGTAGTTCTCTTGTTTGTAGGTAAGGATAGTTTGTTCACAGGTTTGCGGCAGTAAAATATGAAACTCTGTTCTCACTAATGCACGAGGCAGATTTTTATATTGCCAACTTATTACAGCATGCTATTCCTGGACATCAGGATTCTGCAAGCTTGCCAAGACCTCATCCATGTGTCAGATCCATGCAGCAATTTAAATGTCTGGCAATGCCCCCCTTATTCACTTTAACTGAATGATTTTTATGAATTGTTTATTTTTTTAAGAAATTGTTGCATTTCCATGAAGAAAGCTGTCTAGAAAGTTTTACACAAATTACATTGATTTTACAAACACTGATTTTACATTCAGCAACTAAATTGTACATTTGATTAGGTCGGTTTTGAATCAGACCTCAATTCTTTACATCAGTGCTACAGATTTTTTTTATTTATAATTTTTTTAAATTCATTTATTTTTAGATCAATGTAAAGTGTAGACACAAGATTAATGAAAAATGAATAACCAACTACCATTTAGTCCATTGTTAAGCATGACTATTGGTAATCTGTCCCATTTTTACAAACATAAAAGCTTGTTATAAAGACATAATGACAAGCATTTGAAGCAAGGCCCACAATGATTTATCATTAATTTTCGGTGCAAGCTTATTTGAGATATGTCTATTTAAAACGTATAAGAAGAACGGGACAAGTAGAGAAAAATAATAAAATACATTTTACAAAAAAAGCAATCTATTTTCGAAAACAAAGAAATCAGTTCAAACACATCAGTGTCATTCCAACAGACACCTAAAAATGGGACCGCAGCACAAAAATGCTTTACAATAAATATAGAGCATGTAACACTGATTTTGAAGCTGTTCATACTGACAATGTATTACAGTGCGATATGAAGGTAAGTGTGCGCTGGCCCTTAAATTTTTCATTTTGAATGTAAATTATAATACAAAAACAAAGCCTTCTTGACATAAATGTCAAAAACCACTTTTATGAAATACTCTAGCATCCTTTCCTAAAACATACCAAAAAACACCCAAAAAATACAACAGATATGGAAAAAAATATATAAAAAATGCAAACAACGTGCTAGCAAGATAATGTACGATAAACTCCATTGATAAGATTTACAGGCGTGTACCATAGAGCAGCTATGCAGTATGCCTAAGCTGTATATAGTCATTTATGTATATGTCTATAGTACTGCAGTAGTACTGCAACCATGAAACATGCTCCACGGTGATAATAGAAACTCTTCTCTACACAACATCTACATATGGAAGAGGGAAAGACGGGAAAAGGGCTCAGTGCAGTATTCTCAGGGGCAAGGGCTGGGTCTTTTAGCTACCCTCAGGGTTTTGGGTACCACAGATGTCTTGGCTTGGGCCCGTGGGGGACAGTAAACATTTTTCTGGAGCCTTTTAGAGCACAGGGGGGTCCCTCGGCATGTCAGAACAGAAGTAAATGTAAGGTGAGGGAAACAGTCACTCCAACACGATGAGCCATACGTCAAACTCCCCACTAATGTCCTCCTCCTCGTGTTCACAAAACCTGCCTTGGCCAAAGGACACAGAAAAAGTGCAGGTAATTATATAGATGGCCTTTTCAGAGGCCTTTCTTCTCATCGACAAACTGAAGGAGCAGCTTCAAGACACCTTGAATCTCTATTTCTAGCTCACATTCCAAATAAGGCCCCTCAGAAACCTTGGAAAGCATTTGGGAGGATCTGGAGTTAATTATATCCATTCCCCTGACACTGTCCCTCGTGTGGCATTTGACTGATAAGAGGGTGAAGGGGTTTGAAGGACTTGTTTGTCCTCATGAGGGGATGGAAGAAGGTGAAACACTTAGCCATTTGTATGTGTGTATGTGTCCTGCTGCTGCGTCATCGTCACTTGTACGTAAGGCATGCAGAAGCAAACTTGAGCAGCATTTGGTGGGTGTCAGTGACAAAAATAGCACCTCTTCTTGAAGAGATCTCCTCCCAGCTAGTGTATGCCAAATACAGCAGAGATGCTGTGGGGCGGCTATCAACATCCTTTTACAGACAATTTATGAAAACACTTTGACTAAAGCTAAAATGATGTGTCATGAAGTATTTTGGTATCACTTTACAATACAGTTCAGTTCATTACCATTAGATAATACATTTGGAAACAACACTTTTTAAAGCGTTTCATAATCTAGGTTCATTTATAAATATAATTTTTTATACAACCTTAAATTAGTATACGTAGTACGCACTGTTCAAAAGTTTGGGGTTGGTAAGATTTTGGAATATTTTTGAAAAAAGTATCTTATACTCACCAATGCTGCATTTATTTAATAAAAAAGACAATAAAAGCAGTAATATTATTTCAATTCAAAATAACTGTTTTCTATTTTAATATATTTTAAAATATTATTTATTCCTGTGATGGCAAAGCTGAATTCTCAGCATCATTACCCCAGTCTTCAGTGTCACATGTTCCTTCAGAAATTATTCTAATATGCTGATCTGCTGCTCAAGAAACATTTCTTATAATTATCAATGTTGAAAATGGTTTTGAGCTTCTGAATGGTAAATTATATAGAAATCAACGTGAATCAAGATGAGTAAATGCTGTAAAAGTACTGCATTTGTTAACATGAACCTAATTATAAAGTGTTACCATGAAAAGGGAAACCAACATCATTTTGAAGAGAAAAAGGGTAAACTAGTAGTGAGCTGAAATGAATGCAAAGTAATTAGAATATTGGAGAAATTGGGCCTCATTCAAGAAACACTGTTTAATGCATCTGTGTAATGTCTCATTCAATTCAGTGCAACTATATCTACATAAAAAATGGTTTACAAATGATTACCACATAAATATGTTATCTTCGTATTTTCAGACCCATTGTTTTGCATTCTTTTTTATATCACCTTAGATTCTTGCATTGTTAACATTTAAGTGACTCATTGCAATCATTTAAGAAATAAAAATAGTGAGGGAAAAGTGAGAGAAAAATGAAAATTCCAGCTAAAGACTAAAAGTTTCATATATGATTCAAATATTTTAAAAAACAACAACAAGGACACTGAAGAGAAAAGAAAACACTACCACTCTGAACATGACACTTAAATCTAATATGCAGGGAATGATGTTCTAAGAAATGTGAACAACTGTATCTGATTAAATCTGAATGCAGCACATCTATTTTTAGTGGATGTTGCTGTTGTGAGTGGTACAGAGTGCCAGTGGAAGAAAGAACAGCACTCTACCATCCTCATGCATTTGAACTGTCACATTCATATCAGAGCTATTTAGATATCAAGGTTATAGTATTAGCAAAAATGTGAAAATTAGTATCAAAGAATAAACATACTGTACTGTAAATGATTGCATATCACAATGTTATAAAAGTACTGAAACCTCTCAGAACAGCTTCTAATATTAAAACCTCTGAAACCTTAAAAGATTTGAAAGCAAGCAGAGAGAGGAAGTGAACCCTCTGGACCTTCACCTGGTTGGTCAGCTGTCTGGGATCTGTGTTAACAGCCACACTCCTGCACGCTCTCTGCTTGAGCCCGTCTGGGAGAACGCAGCTGCCGCAACGCTGCATCTCCGTACTGGATTCCTGAACCCATCCGCTCCGGGTCCAGCTCTCCTACACAACCAAATGACAAGCACAGCAGCTTGATTCAAATGTTTTTGTAAGCTTATAAGTAACAGCACGAGGCACTGGTATTTTTGTACCTGACTCTATTTTGTTTAGGATTTTCCGAGCACACTGGACAAAAGCTTCCTCCACGTTCTCCCCTGTTAGAGCACTGGTCTCCAAAAACATGAGCTCTGAAAACAAAGATATAAACAAATCCGTCTGTTTTGTTTAATAATACTCACTGAATGCTCACTGAAAAAAAAATTTAATTAAAGATTGTGAATGTATTGCAAAATATTCCGTAATAGTGTTTATTTAGAATTATTTATATATTATTATAGTATTTAGTAATATTTTGATGTGGATTTTATTTTCGTATTTTCAGTTTTCATTTGAATTTTTATGTGCTTTTGTGATTTTTATTAGTTTTTTTATTTCTATTTAGCTTTAATTTATTTATATTTGGCTTTAGTCATTTTAGTACTTCAACTTAAGGTATTTTATTCAATTTAGTTGCCATTGCAACATTTCCAAATATATTATTTTTATTTCATATTTATATTTTATTTTAGCTTTATTTAAATTAATGCAAATAATTTTTTATAATTTCAGTTAACAATAGCACCACAGATCTATAAGCAAACAGTATATCCACAATGGTAATGCACCAATAACCAATCACTGTTTAGCCTCAGAAAAAGCCCTTGTGATCTCAATGCAGCCGGTTGTGGGTCTCTACTGGTTCATGTTTATGTTAGTAATACTATCCTATAGTGACCTCTAGTGGTACAATCACAATATGAAAGCAGATGTATTGTCCAATACACAAGTTTGAGCTATAAACATGCTTTAAAGGATATAATGAATTGAGGACATGTACTTTAGTCAAAAGCATCTTGATCCCTTCACTAGATATTTATTGATGGACTGTGGTCATGTGGATTATTGTGATGTTTTTATCAGCCGTTTGAAAGCAATTGGGTGCCTCTATAACTCAGTACAATTGTTAGCAGCTGGGAACTGCTTGTCTGATATACGCACCATTCTCTTGAGCGAAGCGTGAGGCCTCCAGAAAGGTGACTTCACGGTCAGCATCCAGATCTTTCTTATTTCCACACAGTATGATCACGATGTTCTGGCTGGCCAGCATCCTGGCATCTGTCAGCCAGTTGGTCAGAGCGTTGTAGGTTTCTCGACTAACATCCGGAGACAGAAAGCGTGAGAAATCAACACACCAAAGGATCTATAAATGCATAACATAGTATAGCTCTAGGTAAACATCCAGAAATATATGAATATCTGGGGGGGGGGAGGGGGAAGTGCAATACATAATATTATGTAGAGGCACTGGATATACAAGTGTGACTTTACCTAGTGATGTCATACACGAGAAGAGCCCCTGCTGCCCCTCTGTAATAGCTGCGTGTTACAGACCTGAGGAGAACAAACATTAAACCTCTGTGTCAAATCTAGTGATAAAGCAATATATCAGCCAAAAAATTATGTGGCTGATATTTGGTCATTTTAGAGATTACTAGCATTGGCAGTTAGTTTTAGAAATATATAATACTTTTCTTTTTATTCAAATAGACTACCATTTAAAAGCTCAGGATTATTTTTAATGCTTTTATTCAACAAAGATGCAATAAGTCAAATAACAATCAACACTGATAATAATAAGAAATGTTTCTTGAGCACCAAATCACCACATTAGTAATGGCTGCTGAAAATTCAACATTGGCATAACAGGAATAAATGATATATTAAAATATATAAAATTACGGAACAGTTATTGCAAATTGCAATACTATTTCACAATATTGCCATTTTTACTGTCTTTTTAATCAAATAAATGCAGCCTTGGTGAGCATAAGAGGCTTTCTTTAAAAACATTAAAACATCTTACTGACTCCAAACTTTGGAATAGTGTATATCTGAGTTGATTCTGAGTAAATATGATGTAGTATAAAAGATCATGATCCGCACTCACAAGAACAGTCTTCTTTTTTAGTTTTATTTTACATACATCGTTGATGAGTAAATATTATGCAAAATAAATGCTTAACTGCTTAAAGGCTGAATTGCCATTCACAAACATTTAACTTCAAACAGAATAATCAGTGAGAATAGGGTGAGATCTGTTTTTCTTCTGGAATTCATTAAATTGTGAAAGTACTAGAATGAACAAAGCGAATGCAAATGCTTAAAGGGGTCATATGATGCTGCTAAAAATAATATTATTTTGTGTATTTGGTGTAATGAAATGTGTTTATGCGGTTCAAAAAACACATTATTTTCCACATACTGTACATTATTGTTTCTCCTCTATGCCCCGCCTTTTTGAAACGCATCGATTTTTACAAAGCTCATCGTTCTGAAAAGCGAGGTGTGCTGTGATTGGCCAGCTATCCAGTGCGTTGTGATTGGCCAAATACCTCAAGCGTGTGACGGAAATGTTACGCCCCTCACATGCTGTGTTGATGCCGTGTCCCGGCCGGAGCGATGAGACTAAAACATTAAAACCCATTACAAACGAGGCATCTGTTGCATCCAGTGGGGACATAATTACTGATTATAATGACTTATACTGTCTTTTTACGCGTTGCGTTGCATTGCATCGTGCCGCGTAAACATAAAACCCTGTCTGCATTTGTGATCGGAGAAATGACAAACAACAAGTGCTACTCTACTGCCCAAAACTCACGTTTGAATCATCAGTTGCAACGAAAAACACAGCGGCCTAGCGTGAGCTGAGGCGGGCTGGACTCCGCTTAGTCCACGGTGAAAGTTGATGTATTTCCTCAGCGACCAGCACAGATCAGCTCTAGGCATGACGAAGCGGATATCGTCCTCTTTTGGAAGACCAAACAAAGTAGTTTCGCTTTCACAATGAAGCACACAGCATCTTCAGGACATGGCGGCAGCGTCAACAATACTACAGCGAGAATAAAAGTTACGCCTTCTTTCTTTGCGTGAACATTTGGGTGGCATTATGCAAATCTTCCCACATAGTGATGTAGATATGTGGGGGCGTGTTAGAATGAGCCGTTTTAGGTAGGCGTGGTTAACTCTTAACTTTTATAAAGAATATCTCTTTGGTTTTGAGACTTTAGTGTTTGCAACTTTACAGATCTTCTTTATGCACCAAGAGCTTGTAACACTCCAAAGAGAAAGGAAAAATTGAAATCGCATCATATGACCCCTTTAAATAAGTGCTAAAACATTGACGTCCAAATGACGTTACTGACATTAAATAGTACTCTGGATAGTACACTGGGATTATATCAGCAATCAGCCACCCTGCCGTCTAGATAACGTCACTAGGCGCTGCAAAATCAATATCAATTGACCGCTAGTCTAATCATATCTGCTCACAATAGCAGGACTGTATGGCTCAGACCTCCTTCAACATTAGCCGGACTGACATGTTTCTGTTCAAGCTACAGCATGTTTTCCTGAATGTCTAAAACATATTATCTGCTTATCTGAAATAAACATGCAAGACAATGTTTTAATGCACATTATTGTATAATAAAATGGGCTGCAGCAGCAAACAGAACAGTGCCAAAAGCTCTTCTCAGTGCTGTTTGAAGAAAAGACTAATTGTGTAATATTTAGCATCAAGCTGTCTTGTGATTTTTGTTTTGTTTTATAATTATGTAACTGTGAAGACAAACAAACTGTTTTCACTTTACCAATTAAATAAACAGCTTTCTCTCAGGGGCGTTGTACACAGTGTTTTCATTGTTAACTAAAGCTATTAATAGCTTTATTAAAAGCTATTAATATATATATATATATATATATATATAT